GGAAGTAGCTGCTCAGTCTTCCTGATCCTCGGGAAGTAGCTGCTCAGTCTTCCTAAGGATCAGGAAGTAGCTGCTCAGTTCTGCTGATGATTGGTCCTTTCATGCAGCATTTCTCACAACTTCTGGAAGTTACAGCTCATTTAAAGAAACATATATTTTGTTGTTGTTACATTTATGATCAACAGATCTTAAGATTCATTTTATTTAGTTATTTTGGGAAACTTCACCTGCACTTTAGTTTTTGTGGAGGATTTATTGATCTATATTTTGAGCAGATCTTTTCTATCTAAATATCAAAAGGATCATTTTTATTTTTATACTTTGAGACTGAATGTGTTCCTAAATAAAGTAATAGCTGTAAAAAGAACCCTTGTTTTTTAGTTTCTATAATACGGCTGAGCAACAAGTGAATTCAGTCACATTTCTGTCTCTTTCTGTTGCATCACACAACGTGTTGTTACCGTCAGAACGCTCTGAAACATCACGACATTATATTTGAGCCGTGTCGCCCACCCCGCGCCTGAGTATGTCATGTTTTCTGTTAACAAAATATTTCACAAGTCATTGATCAGATTTTATGAAAACTTTCAGAAAGTAAGATTACCAACTGATTGATTAACTTTTGGAGTCAGTCCAATTCAAAATGGCCGCCACAGCTGTGTGATCTTGGTAAACACAAAAATGTCTGTAAGTGAATTATTATTCCAGATATTAATGTAAAGTGTGAGGTAGTAGCTAAGACTCGTGTAGCGCTCTAATCTCACAGTATGGCATGATGGGGCTGGGCGATGTATCGATACTTTTCAAATATCCATATCATTTAATTCACGGTATGAAAGGAGACCATATCGATACTAAACGGTCTAGTCTTATACTCTGCCTGCAGTTAGTAAATGTGCCAGTTTTTTCCTCCGTCACCTTGATGCCACCCCTCCTTCTTTTCCCTCCCCGAGTCCAAACGGAGCGCTTGCAGAGACAGAGGTTTGGTGCTCTGCAGGAAGTGAGCTGTTGTGGAGTGGCATGCTGGGAAGTTCTCTTCTCATTAAAAACATGGGAAACCACACTGAGCTCTGCACTCACTCCGAGCCTTGTTAATTAAGGTTATTAAAGGATGGATGAATAAACTTCATTACAATCAGACTTCACATTAATAAATCAGGGTAAAACACTAAAAACAACATATTTGCTGATGAAGCCTTCTGGATGGAAGGTGTTTCAGCACATAAATAGAAACCGTCCAGATGACCTGACTGAAAAATGTTGGATTGTAATCCTGGATTACTGAGCATGGACTTTGTTGTTTTTGCTTTGATTTTCTGTGGACGTTATCAAATGTCTTGAAACTTGTAGTAGAATGTAATAAATGCCTAAAAACAAAGTTAAATATATTTACAAAGTTAATTTTTCAGACATGTTTTTATACAGTTACAGCTGTTAATAAATGTGGCAGCTGGCTCAGAAATCTATTTTTGTTGTTACTTTATGGAAAGAGTAAAATATTGAGATATATGTAGTATATTGCGATTTATCTTCAAATCTGGAGATATTCATTTCGGTCAGTATCGCCCAGCCCTGTCGCATGAGCTTATACAAAACATCAAGTGCAAGGTTTGACCAGAGCAGCCTGGGTTTCCTCGTCTCGCTGTCGGCTGAGAGCCGGTGGGCGATATGCCAGGCCTTTAAGTAGAAGATGATTTGATTCCTGGTGGTTGTTACTCATCGTGACTCTGCTGCGTGATGTTTGTTCCTCTGCAGGTCTCCACCAGACACATCTGCACCACCACTGATCTCTGAAAACAAGAGGTTGCAGACAAAAGGTGTGACACTAATGAAGCCGTCCCTTCTTTCTAATAACTTCATGTGGAAAGTGTTTTTGTGTTCATTTCTTTAAATTCCATGTTTTTTAATCAATAGACCTCCTTACATTAGCAGGTGGTTCCTCTTATTCTCCTGAGTTCTTAAACTGATGGTACAGTGGAGAGAACAAGTATTTGATACACTGTTGATTTTTCAGGTTTTCCCACTTGCAAAGCTTGTAGATGACTGTAATTTTTATCATAGGTACTCTTCAACTGTGAGTGATGGAATCTAAAACAAAAATCCAGAAAAATACAATGTATGATTTTTAAATAATTAATTTCCATTTTATTGTGTGAAATAAGTATTTGATCATCTATCAACCAGTAAGAATTTTGGCTCTCACAGACATGTTAGTTCTTCTTTAAGAAGCCCTCCTGTTCTCCACCCATTACCTGTATTAACTGCACCTGTTTAGGCTCGTGACCTGTATAAAAGACACCTGTCCACACACTCAATCAATCAGACTCCAGCATCTCCACAATGCCCAAGACCAGAGAGCTGTGTAAGGACATCAGGGATAAAATTGTAGACCTGCACAAGGCTGGGATGGGCTACAGGACAATAGGCAAGCAGCTTGGTGAGAAGGCAACAACAGTTGGTGCAATTATTAGAAAATGGAAAAAATACAAAATAATGGAAAATCTCCCTTGGTCTGGGGCGCCATGCAAGATCTCACCTCGTGGAGCATCATTGAGCTTGAGGAAGGTGAGGAATGAGCCCAGAACTACACGGCAGGACCTGGTCAATGACCTGAATAGAGCTGGGACCACAGTCTCAAAGAAAACAATCAGTAACACTCTACGCCGTCAAGGATTAAAATCCTGCAGTGCACGCAAGGTGCCCTTCCTCAAGCCAACACATGTCAAAGCCCGTCTGAAGTTTGCAAATGACCATCTGAATGATCCAGAGGAGGAATGGGAGAAGGTCATGTGGTCTGATGAGACAAAAATAGAACTTTTTGGTATAAACTCCACTCGTCATGTTTGGAGGAAGAAGAATGATGAGTACAACCCCAAAAACACCGTCCCAACCGTGAAGCATGGCGGTGGAAACATCATTCTTTGGGGATGCTTTTCTGCAAAGGGGACAGGACGACTGCACCATATTGTGGGAAGGATGGATGGGGCCATGTATCATGAGATTTTGGCCAACAACCTCCTTCCTTCAGTAAGAGCACTGAAGATGGGTCGTGGCTGGGTCTTCCAGCATGATAACGACCCAAAACACACAGCCAGGGCAACTAAAGAGTGGCTCCGTAGGAAACATCTTAAGGTCCTGGAGTGGCCTAGCCAGTCTCCATACCTGAATCCCATAGAAAATCTTTGGAGGGAGCTTAAAGTCCGTGTGGCCCAGCGACAGCCCCGAAACCTGAAGGCTCTGGAGGAGATCTGTATGGAGGAGTGGGCCAAAATCCCTGCTGCAGTGTGTGCAAACCTGGTCAAGAACTACAGGAAACGTCTGATCTCTGTAATTGCAAACAAAGGTTTCTGTACCAAATATTAAGTTTCATTTTTCTGGTGTATCAAATACTTATTTCACACAACAAAATGGAAATTAATTATTTAAAAATCATACATTGTATTTTTCTGGATTTTTGTTTTAGATTCCATCACTCACAGTTGAAGAGTACCTATGGTAAAAATTACAGTAATCTACAAGCTTTGCAAGTGGGAAAACCTGAAAAATCAACAGTGTATCAAATACTTGTTCCCCCCACTGTATATATGGACTTCATCCATCATCTTCATGGACTCCATCCATCATCTTCATGGACTCCATCCATCATCTTCATGGACTCCATCCATCATCTTCATGGACTCCATCCATCATCTTCATGGACTCCATCCATCCTCTTGCACTTGTTCTGAAGTCCGGTCGTGGGGGCAGCATCTTGAGCAGGGGGCCAGAGGGCTCTTTCCACAGCCTCTTCCAGCTCTTCTGTGGGGGACTCCAAGGTCTAGCTCGAGTCTGTACCCCTCAACCTCAAGCACAATGGGCCCACAGGAATGCACCTCATGTTGCTGCTCTGGACTGAGCCCGACCAGACCCCATGGGCAGAGACCTGGTCAGCAGGCACTGGCCGACGAGCCCCTCCCCCAGGCCTGGCTCCAGGGTGGGGCCCCAGTAACTTGCGTCCAGTCAAGAGCCGCTGGGCTCCTTGTTTTCTTTTGTCCATAAGTCTTCAGAATCTCTGTTAGTCCGGCCTGTCACCTAGAACCAAGCTGACTCAGGAGACCCTACCAAGAGCAATTGTAGCTGCCCCCACAGCAGAGCTCCTGGGATCATTCAGGCAGACTCCTCCACGATAAGGTGGTGATTCAAGGACAGTCAGTCGATTCAGTTTATTTATAAAGCGCCAAATCACAACAAAGTTGTCTCAGGACACTGAACAGGAACATTCACATCCAGAGGAAAGACCATTCATAAAAGTTCTCTATCTAAAGATGGCGGCGCGCATAGACGCAGCGACCCGGAGGTCTGACACAGTTTTTGCACGATGTGGTTGATACTGTGCATTTTTTGTACATCTTTGATGCGGTGGCACTACAGTACAGATGTGCTGAACTCGTTTCTGTGCAGCCTGAGACGATTCTGTTGAGACTTGGAGCTGAAGAAATAAACTGAACCCAGTTGAAATTTGAGTTGTGTGCTACAAGTGACAGCTGACTTTCTCCTCCTGATGAAACTTTTTAAATATTTTGTTCACTCGTGTGTGTGTGTGTGTGTGGGTGGGGGGGTGTTGAATTTCCGGGTCCCCCTCATGATTCATACACAGTAAGAAAGACTCTGCGTTGTGCAGCAGGCGCTAAATTATTTAAAATAATTTGTTTTAAATGAACAATCCATGCTGCTCGTGCGGCTCATCCATCAATCAGCCAATCCTGTCGAACAATCTTTTAAGAACACGAAAGAGCGAGTCCGCGTCGACCCTGGAAGTAGCCAGGGACTACCGTAGACCTAAACGTCCTTCTTTCTGAAATAACATTGAGCCGTTTGCTTCATGTGTCCTCAGCTGACAGGTTAGACACTCCGGAGCCGCCATCGTTGTGCACCCCGGGGTTCAAGATCAAGAAGCCCGATGGTCAGTGTTTCACACCGGAGCAGGAGCAAGGTGACCCAGAATGCCCTCTTCTCCCTGGTAGTCCCTCTACCCCTGAGCTTCCACCGTTTCAAACCCCGTATGTGAAACGACTGGTCAGCACCAAAAAGGTAAGAATCATCTGAGTTCTCGTGTGTTTGATACTGATGATGATTCTTATGATGAAGAGTTGCTTCACCTCAGAGTTTATCTTCATTCCATGCGATTAGCGTGCGCAGCCAGACGCACTCGACGGGCCGTCTGATGGAGAGCACCTGGAAACACCTGGTAGAGGTTCAACAAGCACGTGGCAGCACCGTGAGGAGGACAAGCCAGAGATGCCACACTTAGAATCTTCTTTAGGAAATTATTTGACAACGGTAAGTCTAGAAAACACGTTTCCTCTGTGTTCCCTAGTTTCTCCTAAAAAGTGGACAAAACAACTTTTGTGCCAAAACGTTTAGTTTGTCTCATCTCAAAGAAATATTGGGATTTATTAAATGAACATGCTTTACCATAAGACAAGCTGGAACTTTAGTGAGCCCACAAGATTGTTGTCATGACTTAAGCCCTGTGCTTTCAACCTTAAGCTTGTTAGAGAAATGATTGCAACTTATTATTATTATTTACTTGTTCAGCCCGAGACGCTGCAGTGAGCTCAGGGCCGTTTACACGCAGCGTATTTTGAGTGAAACTGGTTCTGCTGGTTTACACGACACCAGTCAGCCCCCTCCTCGAATCCACAGGTTTCTCAACTCACCTCTCAGAGTGGAGGTTGTCGTGGCGACCGCCCGCTGTTATGTACACGTTTCCTGCACAGGTGTTACAGCACATGCGCACAATAGGCGTATATTTCTATCAACAATGGTGCCGGAGTACAACATCCTGCTTTCTGAGCCTCGACTGATGGAATACATTCTGAGTCTCGGAGATGGACTAAATGGTAAATGGACGGTACCTATACAGCTCCTTTCATCTGATCAAGACCCTCAAAGCTCTTCACAACAATCTGTGCCTCATTTACCCGTTCATACAGCTCTATACTAGATCTCTACAACGATAATCTGAATCTGTAGAGACTAACCAGAGCTTTATCACATTCATACACTGATGGACTCGCATCAGAGGCAGTGAGGGGTTCAGTGTCTTGCCCAGGGACACTTCAGCATGTGACTGCTGGTGGAATTGAACCCCCAACTCTCCCGTTGAAGGACAACTGCTCTAACCACTCGATCTATGCCAGAATGTAGCTGCTGTGACCGACATCTGTGTTGGAAGAGACCGCAGTCGGATCCAGTTCCAATATCAGTTTATTGAACGAGGCAGGCGTGTATTTCACGTGTGGCACTGGACTATAACATATTAAACATGCTAAGTAACAGTGTAACCATAATAAACTGTTTCTTTAGTGGTGGGGGATGTAATGAAGCCATGTGGACATTATGTCATTCAAGTTATGTGAGGTAAACGATGCAAGACCTGTTGTTGAACATGAAGACATTGGGTTTAATTTGTATTTGTTTATTCAACACCACAAACTGTGTCACACAAACACTGATCATTAAACTGAGCATTATGAAGAACACATGAACTGGACTCTGCTGTCATCCTGGATGTACTGGTCCCACGTTGTTCATGTGGCTCGTTCAGGCCGTCACTCCTTTCATTAAAACATTGAACGGATTGAACAAAACAACTGAGAGGAATTTTAAGTGACCAGTTGATCCAACATCTCTGTCCGACGAGCTCCTCCTGAGGTGTATGCTCCTTCAGAACCGGTTTGTCTCTGGTAGGAGGACAGCTTCTCTTGCAGGAAAAATAAAAACGGTTGTTGTGTAACCAAAGCAAACACTAAGAACGTTGACTTACCTTCTGTAAATCGGCTCGACATCTGACTACTGATTGTCACGGAGTAGAGAGCCTGTCCTCATCCTCGTCAGTTCTGGTTCGCTCAGGTTCTGGTGTAGAGCTGTGGATGAAGCGGTCCCAATTGGTGTCAAATCTGTCGACTGGCATCCAACATCCAGCTTCAACTTGTTATAAACAGCACCTTCTCAGAGTGGATCAACCAGTTTGCTGCTGACAACCAGAACCAGCTGATCACATGATCAAGAAGGACCATCAGCCTAACAATGGATCATTAGCACCTGATGGCTGTTTACTGTTCACAGAGGGCTGAGTGATACTAGCAATCACAGCATTGTAAGAGGGGGACAGTTGAACCTGGAGGCTCCACCCCTGTTTAATGATGGACGGTTTCTTTTCACAAAGATGGCCTCCTTTACTCCTCTCTCAAACCATCGTTCCTCTCTGTCCAGGATGTGAACATCTTCATCCCTGAAAGAGTGACCGCTGGCCTGGAGATGAGTGTAGACCTCAGAGTCCTGGCCTGATGATGTTGATCTTCTGTGCTGGTCCATCCTTTTGGCCAGTGGCTGTTTAGTTTCCCAGATGTAAGACTGATCACCCTCCTGACACTGAACAACATACACAACATTACTCTGTTTGTGCCGGGGGACTGGATCTTTGGGATGAACCAGTCTTTAATGTATTTTGGGGTTTAAAAGCCACTGGGACGTTATGTTTAGAAAACGAACGTCTCAGTTTCTCAGGCTAAAGGTCCTCCTCATCATGTGAACAGCTAGTTTAGGCTGTCACCATCAAACTTGTTGATTGTGCTATTTATAAAACTGAGTTTATTGCAGCTCCTCAGACTGACAGTGTTTTGGATAAAAGATGAAACGTTTCAACAAGTTTTTAATTGTTATTCTTTTTGAGTCCGTCCAGAGGACCAGACTTAACTTTGTTGACTTCTCTTGTTACTGTTTCGCTCAAGTTTTCACTTGATTTGTGTTTGTCTGCAGAAAAATGGAGACTTACCAAAGGTTGGTGAGAGTGCTAAAGTAGGAAAGGACACAGCCGTCAGCAGTCTGGAGTTGGACAGAACCACCCAGGGGTTCAGCTTGCCAAGAAGCTTCCAGGAACCGAGCACCCCTGAAATGCCTGACCTGAGCTCTGTCACACAGGACATCTGTAAAGTTCGTGTTGCTCATGAAACCACCCCTGCTCTGTTCACAACTTCCTCTCTCTGGTTTTACTCTGAAAGCTGATAGGCTCCTTTTCAAGGCCTACTCACGGTTGATTATAGAAATGTTTAAAACACGTTGCCATACGCTTCAAGCATCAAAACCAAATGGATATGAGACGGCCGCTTTCTGACAGCTTTGTCTTTTGCAGCTTGTGTTACAGGCCCAGAGGAAGAATACGAGCACTGCATCCCAGCTGTCTGATGTCAGGCCAGAAAGCGACAGACACTGGTATACAAACCACTTTATTTAACATTTAAATGTATAAAGCAGCAGCAACAAATTGATTTTTTAACTTCAGCTGAGATGGACATTTGCAGTACTTACTTACTTTCATACATCTGTTTGCCTGAGCTTACAATTTTTAAAGTATTTGATTTATTTATTTATTGAGGGAGGGGGTCACAGCTGCATCTCAAAAATGAGAATACAGTAGTCCCTGGCTCTATCGCGGTTTTTCAAAATAAGATTGGACATGACACACAATTGGCTGATTGATGGATGAGCTGCACGATCAGCATGGAGTTTTTATTAAAAATGATTTAGCAGCTGAGTGCAGCCCAGAGCTGCAGGACAAGCTCCCTCCTTCAGTGGGTCATCTCCTCTGCAGCGGAGAAGTGGGCGTGGCCAAGAGCACTGGCCGGTGGCAGGGAGCTGAAATCATGACATGCTGTGCTCTTTTAGAGTTTAGAAACAATGTTTAGAATTAGGCCTGTCACGATAAATCAATTAATCGCATGATAAATTAAAATGATCGACCTCGTTTTCTTTATCGGTTTTATCGTTTCTATGACACAAAGCTCAACTCTGTTGTTCTTCACTGGCCCCTCCCTTTCTCTTTTATCTTTAAAATCTGTTTTAACGTCCAAAATCTTGTTTGTGGATCGTTAAAAGCAGCTAAGCTGAGAAGCTAAGCTACGAGCTAAGCTAACAGACCGACCTCTTGAAAACCCTCCGTCTTGTCGAAGCTCCAACATTCACGGTTGAAACCCGTGCCTTCGTGTAAAGTTTTTCTCTGCAAAAAGAAGCTGACAACTTGTTAATGATTTTTTAATTCAACGCTCCGTGTGAAAAATGCTAAAGAGCTCAAACCACACTGAGCGTCCACCATTTTGAGAACCAAAGAGAGACAGCCCATGTCACGTCAAGAGGCCCCCCCTCCCATTTTTCTTAGACACGCTGCTCGCTCCCTCACTATCCATCCTTCGGTTCAGACAGTCTTATACTGCCATCCAGTGGTTGAAAAAACTTACTACGTGCTAAACAAATTAACCAACATTTCTTCTTAAATTTGACAATAATTACCAGTTATTGTGAAATTTCAAACAATATTATCGTTTATCACAATAATTTCTGAGACAATCACCCAGCTGCAACAGGAAGCTTATCCTGCATTAAGGGCTGCACAAATGTGCTAAATAATTTAAAATAATTAATTTAAAATCAAACTTCCTTACTGGTCGTGCAGCTCATCCATCAGTCAGCTGTGAGTCATGTCCTGCTGGTTCTGGTCCACTGGGTTCTCTGAAGTCCACAGTCTACGCAGCATGTAGCAGGACTTTTGAGAGCTCTTCATGCTTCCTTCTGCTGACGAGCTTCATGGAGATGCTGAGGTCACTTTCAGCAGGACTTGTCTCCTTTCCAGAGCTGGCTGTGCAACTTTTTGATTGAGTTTTGGTTTTCCTGTTTTGTAAAACACGATCATCAAGAAGTAAAGGCTGAAGTACTGCACTCTGTAATGAATCGATATCATTCCTGGGATGAACGTTCTCACACCATTGACAGAAACGTTGAACGTTTTCACGATTTTCTTGAAGTCACTCCTGTTTGTAGATCAATTTAAATGTGCACATTTGTTTTTGTATGCAGTCCTGTTGGTGAAACAAAGGGTCTGTCTCTGGTGTCCCAGAGTGAGTTTGAGACTTTACCGGACTACCTGCGGTGCATGCCTCTGAGCAGCCTGAACCAGGCCGTCAGGAACATCAACAGGTCCACCAACGGCTCTGAAGGTGAGCGCTGCTGGCAAACGCACGGCCGTCTGTTTGTGCACCTGAAACTTATTCAAGCATCACAGAACACAAACCCACTTCATCCAAGAACTCGTTCCAAGTTCAGTCCACATTACAGACACACACCACTGTCTATATTAACATGTGTTCACTACGGTCAAACAGGAATCAACGAGTTCAGTGATTTATCAGATCATTCTGTGCTGTTGGGCGCCCTCTGCAGGACTAATGACGACGTGCACAACGGAGGAGCTCAGGAGGATCAGTAGTGTGGGGACCCGTGCTCCGGTATACATCCTCTGTCTACAGGAGCTGAAGAGGCTGAAGCAGGTGGAAGGCAGCGCCAGCGTTTATCAGCTGATAACAGCTAAAGAGTAGGCCAGCACCAATGTTTATCAGCTGATGACAGCTAAAGAGTAGGCCAGCGCCAGCGTTTATCAGCTGATGACAGCTAAAGAGTAGGCCAGCACCAGCGTTTATCAGCTGATAACAGCTAAAGAGTAGGCCAGCACCAATGTTTA